ATCAGCAGCGGGACATCAAAGAGTTCCCATCACGGTTTTTAAGCCTGACGGATCTGGAATCATTCACTCAGCCACCTCCAGTTAAGTGTCCCATTCCTCTTTCCGGGATTTGGAAGGCGTCAACCTTCGTCGGGCGGTAGGCGAATGGGCCATGGTTTGGAGTTTAGGGTCTTGGCCAGTTGCTCTGGAACTTGCATCGTTGAGGGGCCTCTCCAGTGTTGGGAGCAAGGACGCCTGCAACACGCAACATGTAAGTGCACGATGTTCATTAAAATCCAGTATTTTGCACCCACCTGTCTGTGTACTATAGTCATCAATTTCCCTGGACAACCCATCCCGCATTGTTGACAACTGGAAGAGCGACCAATTCATCCCATGAAAGCTCGAAAGCCCTATACGGCTTGATTTGGAACACTCGTGCAGTGTATTAAAAGGTTTCTTTTTCTGGACATTGCAGGATTGCTGTGGTCTCTGAGAAGTTAAATTCACATCCAAACTGCAGATATGCCACCCCAACCGGGTTGTAACAGAAACTATTAGGCTCGAGGTTCCCTACACATATATTACTCTCTCTCTCTCTCTCTATAGATAGATAGATAGATAGATAGATAGATAGATAGATAGATAGCTACACATCTGCAGAAGCTTCGAGTTGCGCTAGTCGCGGAAATTATGCGGGTTTTACGGTTTAAGGGTGGAATCGCCATGGGTGTGTAGATTCACCCAGTATTCGCAATAAGTAATAAGTCCCATAGAGCCAGGTCGTTTACCTTCCAAGTATGCAAAACAAGGCGCTTGTGGCGGCCATGATGCGGGAACTGCATTCCATGACTTCATTTGGCTTCCTCTGACTGGCTGCGTGCATGTCCCAAGCTGAAAGCAAAGTAGTTGTCCAGTCCTATGCGGAGCTTCCTCGCTTCAATATGCTTAGCCTGCTTAGCCTCAGCAGTGACCCAGTCGTCGCCCAACCTTCAGAGCGACATTGGCTCATGCCATGCAGAGACGCCCGTCGCGAAGTCGAAGCCCAGCGAAAGGCGTCGATTCTTTGGACAGAACTTTCCCTCTGCTTCTCTGGTCTTTGTGAGGCGACGCCGGCGAGAAAGAAGATGTACAACTGGACTCCTTGGTCCAGGCCATGGGGGCGCAGAGCAGTGTCGGTCTTGTGTGCCGGAGCCAATCCCTTCTGTCAGATCGGTGCGGGCATGGGCCTGTCCTTGGACCAGGCCCGTCCTCGGTCACAAGACTTGAACACAGCAGGTGTGAACTGTGGGTATCTTTATTCATATCAATCTCAGCCAGGATTCTGAAGCTGGTGTTGTTCACAGAGGGAGGGGCTCAGATATGAACTCGGTACGAGGCTTTCGCCCTTGGAGAGCAAGTCCTTAGTGGGCAGATTGCACGTACCCTGGCCGCACAGCCCTTTTTTCAGACCTATGTTGGGCAGCTCAACCCTGTGAGGGGTCGGTGGCGACATCGTCCAGATCAAGCAGCCGAGTGAAGCAGAGGCGCAGGTGCAGGAGGCGGGTCCAGGATCCGCGATCACGTGTAGACCGGGGTTTTCTCAGTGCAGAGCGAGGCATGGGTTGGGGATTTTTTCATGCTGCACGCTCCTCTCTTCCAAAGCGGAAAGAGCTTGAAAGGTGCGGAGTACCCTGGATGCGGGTTTGCTCACGGACATCCAGCACGGGCAGAAGACCCAAACTGCCGCGGCGATCGAGGTCTGCACAAATCGTTGAGAAAGGAATCAGCTTCTGGATTTTCTGGCTTTCTCGCAGGAGCAGTCGGTGCCAGAGCCAGCGGGGTCTCCGGATTCCCGGAAGGTGCATCCACATCTTTCGCAGATCATGTGCTCCATTCTTTTACCACTGGCCAGGTTCAAAAAGAACCCTCCGAAGCCGAAAAGCTTTTGGCTGGTATGGAGACGCTGCCATCTGGGGTTGAATTTTGAGGTTTGGGGGGGAGGAAGCACTTCGCCCTGCCGTTTCCCAGGAGAAGATGTCCAAGAAGTTCAAAGAGCAGCTCTCGCCGCAGACTCAGAGAGGGGCTGGGGTCGCTAGGGTCGGGCGTGTTGATATTTCTGCAAGCGGCGAAGCGTGACCCTCGGACCCTCAGATCTTTGCAGCAGCTGCCGGGGACACCGGGAAGCTCCAAGGTCTTGAAGGAGGGTCCCTAGGAGGGTTTAGGGTGCAGACACAGTTGCAGGGCCACTAGATGCGATGCTGGGGGCCGCAGGACATGCTGCGTTACTACGGCAGCTTGGTGAGCACGCTGGGGCCCACGGCCTTTTGCGTCGGCGGCAATTTCGGAAAGCCACACTACTCCGCCTGCCTCTGGCACACGGTAGTGAGGTGGGAGCGCTGCCTGAGCAAACTTGCGCCTATGGAGCCGCTGGAGGCTGTGACTTGGGTGAGTTGACTCGGAACCCAGAAGGCTTATGGCTGTCGCGGTTGTCACTGCTGGCATCAACGGCTTCTGTCGTACTCCAGAATGCCGGAATCAGCAGGACTTGCAGCACCTGCCTGTGACCATCGAGGCCCGAAAAAGACAGACCTTTGAGCGTACTTCATTGATCTGCGACAGCACTGCAGTGAATTTGTTCACAGCGTGCATCCGTTAGGCAAAAAGTTCTTTCTGTAGCATTGCCTCGACTGGTGGTTGTGCTTGATATGTGAGTCATTGGCGGCTCTCCTTTCCGATTCGCTTTCCTGACCTGCACTGTGGAGGGTACAAGAAGAACAAGGAGAGGAGAATCAATACGAACCATCGAGCTGCACGCGTGTGTCTGCCCACAGGGAGGAGCAGGACGCTTGCTCCTTCTGCCTAGTCAAAGAGAGAGGCACCGTACTCCTAGTGCATGGATTAGCAGCTGTTGTGGCCTTTCCTCCAAACACCCACCTCAATGCGTTCCGCACCAAAAGGGTGCGCGACAGCGCAGGGGGGGGGGGGTGGTGGGAACCCCTCCCCCTCAGGCCCGAGGAAAGAAGGAGAGGCCCACTGAACAGTCGGAACGACATTAGCAGTAAGGTGCTGGGGGGTTTCGCATGTTGGCCCCCTCGCATGAGCTTGTCCGGCCAAGCCCCATTGCGAAGCTCACCTTCGAAATGCCGCACTGCCAGTACTGACAGAAGGGGGGACGCGGAAGTATTCACGTTTGCTATCAAGTGTGTCGAATATGATCAGTATGATCATGACAGGTCCGTGGCTTCATGCGGCCGGAATGCAACAGGGCTCGGGCCACGGGATAGAGGGCTGACTGGCAGAGATCGCATCGCCCCTGAGACACTGGATGTGTGTGTGTGTGTGTGCGTGTGTGTGTACTGGGAACAGAGGGTCACGGGGGTCCTGGTCAACGAAGACCCCCGTCAAACGTGCCTGCCTGTATCCGCCATGCGCCCCAGCGCGGGCAGCTGGGGGATACACTCATTTAAATTTTCAGCTTCATCTTCATCTCGCTGCATGCTGTGCCATTCCCGGTGTCTGGCACAGCGAGGGCATGACCCATACCGTTACGGATCACTTTAGCTTGTTTTCGTATGCCATTCCGTCGGTCTGACATACATGGCACCAGAAACTCATCTCATTTTTCGTTATCATGATCATCATCAACATTATTTTGTTTCATCCAACAACAAAACCGCCCCACCCTCCTATGCTTTTCCTGACCTCTTCCCTTGCCGAAATCCATCAGTCTGATTGAGCGTGGGTCCCCCCCCCCACAACGACCAACCGCGTTTGCCACCCCAAAGTGGGGCTCGGTGTGTGTGAACTTCCCCAGCACATGGGAACAGAGGGTCACTCCTCTTGTCTTGCTTCATATTTCGGGGTGGGGAGGGGGTCCTGGTCAACGAAGACCCCCCTCCCCAACCCCGTGCAAACGTGCCTGCCTGTATCCGCCATGGGCCCCAGCGCGGGCACCTGGGGGATACACTCATTTTCATTTTCAGCTTCATCTTCATCTCGCTGCATGCTGTGCCATTCCCGGTGTCTGGCACAGCGAGGGCATGACCCATACCGTTACGGATCACTTTAGCTTGTTTTCGTATGCCATTCCGTCGGTCTGACATACATGGCACCAGAAACTCATCTCATTTTTCGTTATCATGATCATCATCAACATTATTTTGTTTCATCCAACAACAAAACCGCCCCACCCTCCTATGCTTTTCCTGACCTCTTCCCTTGCCGAAATCCATCAGTGTGGCCTCAATCTGAATCTCGGCCATGTGGCATACCCCGATTGAGCTGATCCTTCTTCCAAGCCCAAAACGACGACACTTACCCGACTCTCATGCTCGTTCGTCTCAGTCTCATGGAGCTTAGAAAGTTCTGACTTGCCAAGGATTTCAAGCTGGACAAAGATTCCAACTTGAACGGAAAGCCGGTGTACCGCACCCAGGAGATGAAACATTGACTTAGACCAGTCTTCGGGCTCATTCTTGAGACCAGCGATCTTGCATCCATGCGCAGGACGACGGCGAGGAGTATTTCCTTTACTGGACAGTTGCTGGGACTGAAGTTCTTGTGCCCTGTCCCGTTGCCTTTGTTGGTAACTGCCACAAAAATATCGCCGGAGAGCCACAGGATGCCGCATGGAGCCGGCGAAAGAGAGAGGAAAACACACACACACACACACATGCACACACATGCACATAATGCACATAGTGCATGTAATGCTGCATATATGTACACACATTCATAATCATTCATATGTATCTGTATCTGAATGTACACATGCATACATTATACAAGCAAACATAGACATACATCCATCAACCCATCCGTCTATCCATTCATGCATATTCATAGAAATATGTCCATATGTATATATATACATATACACATACACATACAGCATACATACACACATAGATGGCACACCGAATACACAGACGCATTCAAGAATGGAAATGCACCAGCATCCGGGAGATCGGCGTGACTTCGAAAGTGCAAATGCAATATTTGTTCGGAAGCTCTCCCGTTCGGGGTTCGTGTGGGGCCGCCTGTGCAGCTTGTTGCACTCGAGCTTTTTTTGCAACGGAGGTTAAGGGTATGCGGCTTGGGAGGGATTTCGCTCGGTTTGCACGTGGCCGTGTTCTGTGTTGCGACAACTCTTGAAACTTGATCTGCTGCGGGGGCTTGGGGTTAGAGACTTGGTTCAATGGCGTGTTGTGTTCGCGCGAACGACAATTGACACTGTACGTAAACACCCGCTGTTCCGTGGTGCCCGATTGACGCATTTCCCAAAGTGTACGCCATCATCAGGATAGTGCGCATTGGGGCCTCGCCTACATCGGCTGAGGTCCCTGTTTGTTTGTTTGTTTGTTTGTGTATGTATGTATGTATGTATGCATGCATGTATGTATGTATGTATGTATGTATGTATGTATGTATGTACGCATCCATCCATCCATCCATCCATCCATCCAGCCAGCCAGCCAGCCAGCCAGCCAGCCAGCCATGCAGGCATGCATAGAAACATGCATGCATGCACAGGTGCATGGATGCATGCATCCCCTCCCTCCCTCCCTCCCTCCCTCCCTCCATGCATCCATATGTATGTCCGTTATGATTCTTTCTGCTCTTCAACCTTCTGTTTCATCCGAGTCTCTTCGCTGGCGAATATGCAAGCGGCTGCAAAAGGACAGCTCCAAACAGCTGTATCTCGCGACCGGTTTGATCAGATCCCCTGCTCCACATGCAAACCACAGTGACTCAGCGCATGCTCCAGGATCACGGCTCATATCACGACCTACAGCATGCTGTTCGATGGGGTGCTGAGAGGTTCGTGGCAGAACAATGCGAGGACCGACAGAGTGTTCGGTAAGGCTTCTGCCCTGTTGAACTTGGATCGTTAGTGCATGCTCGAGATCGCACGGGGTTCGTTCCAACAGCATGCTCACCAAGACGTAGACTCAGTTGCCGGCATCTTTATGTGCGCAGTACTTCTCACACGTTCCGAGCAGGGCATGGAAACCAGCTACTGGGTCGAGTTCTATGACGATGGAGGCACAACTCCACCTGAGCTTGAACCCATCTGAAGTGCCTCGCGAAGCGGTGCTGGCACAAGGATATCAGATGTTGAACATCCTGTGGCTGGCTCAGGGGAGCTTCGTGAAGTGCTCATCATAGGACGGAGTGAGCTTGGGCAACACCGGCGCTTGATGCAGTGCCTGCAAGGTTCAACCCCGTATTTGCAGACTTGCGTCAGCCGCAAACCCCGCCAGAGTTTAAGGTCGAGAGCTCAAAATGGTTGCGTGGCACCCTGATGTATTCGGTGAAACACCTCTTGCAGCTCACAAGGAGGAAGCCTTCGTCGTGGACAAGACGAATTTTCCTCGAAGCCGATGTCCCAGCAAATGCAGAAGACACATGCAGGCAGTCATGAAAAAAACAGGTTTATATTGGGAGTTTGCTGAGTGTATGCATGGCAACTTAGAAATTTCGGCGCATGTGTATTTGGTGGGTGGTTTTGGAGGTCATGATATAGAAGCAGCGGCTCCGTTTCAGATGCATCAGCTCTACTCGCAGTGTGTTGAGGTCAGCCTCCAAAGGGCTACGAGGCGGGCCTGTACTACCACCTGGACACCAGCTCGGGAAAAATGGCACCCACCTCGGAGGGAATATGCGAGGGTCGGGTGTGAATCAGCACAACAACCTGAGCCCGGCATCAGGATCGGAAGACCCATGTGACATGGGGCAAGACGATTCGTGGGGTTGCCTATGGAAACTACGTGAAGGCCAGGAATTCCGAAGCCCCAAACCCTCCAAGACCTGAAGCCGCAGTGTAGTCCTGTCAGGTGGGCACTGTCTTCCTCCCATGCATCTTGCGGGGAAGGTGCGGGTCGAAGTCGCAGAGGGGAGAGGAATGATAGGCCTGTTTGGAGTTTGCTGGACGTAATCCTTTCTGGTCTGCTCTGTCCAACATTTGCGCTGCTGGTTCTTTCTGCTGATGCTGCCTCTCCGGTGGCAGTCTTATTGCTGCCGGTGCTGGGGCTGTGATATGTACATGTGTGCAATGCTCAAGTTCACCGCTTCCCTGTGCCCAGGAAGGTTCTGACGCTTCTGAAGGACATGGATCGTGACAAGCTAGACAGCATGAGGCAAGAGTTCTCAGGCTCCGAGGACGAGTAAAGATCGACGAAAACGACTGCGACAGTCCTGTTGGTAGCGGAGAAGTACTGGGAGCACTGAATTGGGTCCTTGCAGCACTTGGGTGCGGGATGGTCGATGTGTCGCGCCGCCGTATCCAGACTCTCAGCTTCTATTGAAGTTCGCTCCTGGTGTGACCTGCCCCTGGCCCCAGAAGCGAGTGCGGCGTGGGCCCAAGCTGCCGAGACGAAAAGGCTTCAGTCTTGAGGAATCCTCGTATCTCCCTCCAAGGCCCAGACATGGCTCGTTGGATTTCGCTGTGCCTGCTATCTTCCGCGGCGCGCTGCCAAGACACCAGCGATTTGGAGTTCTCTAGCCGCTAAGGCCGTTAAGGATGTGTGCTACTGAGGCGGCCCTTAATGTTGGACATGATCAGCTGCGAAAGGACGTTACTCATTGACAGTGGGATAGTACGCGCTTCAAGATTTTCAAAAGTTCCCTCAGGCACCACTATTAATACGCCACCGCTGTCGTACTCTAATGTCTGCCCTGGGGCATCGTGGACAGGACTCCAACTTCTTGAGCTGGGAAGCGCGGAGCTCGGGGCTGCGGACGAGTGGTTAAACTACGCAGTGAACTCCGCAACGTTGTTTGGGCATCTCAGCAGGCTCTGTGACCTGATGCGACCTGAGGCCTCCGAAACTCTCCGCAATCAGCTCTATGTGCTGGCCGCAGTTTGCATTTGCCCCAGCTTCCAACCTGGTAAGTGTGCGTTCGTCGTGGCAGAGCCACGAGCATCGAAGGGATCGTAATGTCGAGCGTGCCCGTGCAACTGCGAGAGGCTGCTTTGCCTTGGCGGGCTCCCTGGTGTTCTTCTGGACCTCCACGCCTGGATCGGACAGGACCCGGGTCCCGTGGGTTGCGGGTGAAGCTCCTCATTGGTAGTATATATGACCTGTCGTCCGTACTTTGACTCATGAGAAGCTCTTTAAAAGACATGGAGGTCCGTCATTCCCTGAAGCTTGCTGAGTTTAGGAAAGAGCTAGACGAGCCGGAGGCCGTGGAAGCGGCTCTCGGCTCAGTGGAAACTGAGCCAAGCAAAGACTTTTTGCGGAAGAACGGAACTGGTTCTCTGAGGCCATCCCTGCCAAGGTGGTTGAGGACCGTGCATGTTTTCTTGATGCACAGCGCATTGGCATGAGCACAAGAACTGTTCGCAGGAAGCCGGCCCGTCTTTGGCAGACTATGAGGATTCTGGCTGGAGGGTTGGCTTAGGCTGAGTTTTCGGTGGAAGCGTTCTTGCGCTCCACGCGGAAGCGCTTCACTCAGATGCAAGCAGTTGACGCCCGTGAGGATCTTGTGAAGTCGGTGATGCAGCGCACAGCAGACCACCTCGGACCGAAAGTGGCTAAGGGCGCACAGGCCATCTAGCTGGTCCTAAGCAGTCGCCAGTCGGACAGTAGATTCACTGTCTTCTGCGTCTTTTCGGGGGTCTCTCCTCTGTCAAGATCCGACCAGAGACAGGGGAGCTGCCAAGAGATTTGTTCTGCCGTTCACTGCCAGCCGTAGGTGCAGAGCATCGTGAACGACAAGGTCGGCTCGCTTGCCGATAAGGCCAAGGCAAGGCGGCATGTTCTTCGAACCCGCATTTCATACGCAGCACACGTGGTCTCCAGGCTTTCGTGATGACAGAGCTCACCGACACAGTGGGCTCAGTGGCAACTGCCTTGCAGATTGAGGCTCACACAAAGACTTAGCCCAATGCGGCATCAGGAAACAGAGAGGCAAGCTGCAAAATGGTCGCAGGAGTTCATGGTGCTGGTGGACGACGTGGGCAACCCAATCTTGTGGAAAAGTCATGGGGTTTCAGCTGAGATGCAGACCAGGATGCAGCAGTAGCGGCCAGCTTCCCGCCCCTCTCCGTGCTCTTGGCTGGCCTTCTCGTGCCCGTTGCTCGACCGCACAGCTCATGAGCCTGTGCAGCGGATGGGGATTTGAACAGTACAAGGCGAACCTGAACTTGAACATTGCCTGCTTCAAGCTCAGCTACACTCTCCTTGACAGAATTGCAAAGGTTAGCAGCCGCTAGCTGTGTCCGAGCGATTCTGCAGGCGTGCCACATCGTTTCAGCTACCTACGAATATACTCTGAAGTACATGGCACCTTAGCCTTTTCCCGTCTCTCACTCAAGCTCCTCCGGCTTTTCAGGCCACCTGTTGCAGACATTCATCGTCCTCCTGCCGGTCTTGTGCGTAGTGGGCTACTCTGAGTCGAGCCGACAAAGTTTTGGCCGAAACGTAGTCCTCGGAGTCGTGCTGCGATGGCCACAAGCCGTTCTCCATAAAGCTCTGGGATAGATGCCAGGTATGTCGACGCAGACCATCCCTGTAAGTCGATTCCGGGACTCAGGCAAGGTCCTAAGACTCTCCATGGTTCTCTGCAAAGTCGGGGAGGTTTCGATGTGTGCCTCGGGAAGGCTTTGGGCCAGAACCGTGGGCGTGATCGCTGGCCTCGTGACGCTGGCCCGGCTCGTGCTGGTGGGCGCCTTGGAGCCGCGGGAAGGGGTAGACAGGGGCAGACATGGTCACGCAAGTCTGTCGAACAGGTCGACGTCGTGCAAACTAGCAAGCTGGAAGCCTGTAAGCAGATGTTGAATCGGGATGCAGGCTATCAAGTGCTTGTTGGCCAAGGTGGGCCCATGTGCATAATCTGCTTTTCTTCAAGCATGAGAAGACTTCCCGTGTGGCTGCCACTTGCCGCTTTCAGTCCGCCATTCGCCGCAAGAACGAGGAGATGAAGGAGCAGCTCGCGAAGGATCGGTGAAACAGCGAACAATCGCTTGTCTTCTTGAAGTGGGATGGTCACTCGTAGATGAAAAGGTTCACTTGCACCCTTTCGTGCCATATGTGAAGGGTAGCACACTTGCACATGTTCGTATCATTGTGTGCCAATCTTTGCTGCTTGTCCGCTCGGCGAGGGTGGTGCATGGTGGTGCAAACACGCATCGACCTGGATTAGCCCCGTCCACTGAACACGCGAAGCAAACTATACACCTGTGCTTTTTCCAACTCACAGCTGGAGTATTTACCGAGACCTCAAGTCTGCAGTCATGCAAGCTAAAAGCCGGGGCTATCACGGACTTGACAATTGCCGGAGGCCACGGGCCATGCCAGCTCCACCGGGTGCCGTGGCCAAATGACGAGATATAAAGTACTTTGACAGGAAGTCTCTGACAGAAGGAAATTCGACCATGAATGATCTGAGCAGAGATGTGCGAGTCAAGCCACCCAAAAAGCCGCAGCAGGGACATTTTGACATTTTCACATCATAGAACCATAAGCATGCCGAGTCTAGTTGTTGTCTACGCAGTGGCTCGTCTAGCTCTGTGGAAGCCAGCAAGACTTGTACTTCCGCGAGTGCTCGGGTTCTACAATGTTCTAAATATACACTGGGTCTCTCCCAGGATTGAAGAGTTGAAGCAGCTGTTCCTGTGCTGGGCCCCAAGAGTGAAGATGCGCAGCGCTGGCCGGCCAAGATCGCACATGGAAAGTCGCACGGCAATGAGCCTGCGTGAAGATGATCTGTTCGTCAGGTATGACTTCGAGCAATATTGCATTTTTGAAAAACGCCCTCTCCCTAAGTCTACGCCACCACGCTGCAGCACGCAGTGGTCTGCGAGGGCAAGCCGGGCGCCCGGTCCAACTTTCAAGCAACTTTTCAGTCATCAACAGCTGCAATAGAATGAAGCCTGCTTTATCATTATTGGGCACAACCGAAGATTCTGCACACTCTTCATCTTTGCAGCACCCGTGTCGGCTTCTTCTCGCACATCGTTGGCTTCGGCACTCTCCTGCCGGGGCCCGAGACCTCGGCGGGGCGAGGCCCTTGTCTCACGACCTGGATATGATATGCTATAGTACACCCTAATATATACAATAGTATACCATCATATACTAGAATATATTATGGTAAGGAGGTCGTTGGAGATCTTGGGCGGTACCACTGGAGACAAGTGGCTGATAGACATCCGGTACATGCAGCCACTTGCAGCATGAAGGCTTTGCATGTTTTGGCATGGACCAATGCTGCACTTGCCGTCGTTGTCAGCACTTCGCTCTTCTGCTGTTGTGTTGCTCTTTGTGTCGTGTTCTCATGTTCGTGTTTGCCAAGCCCTTCCGTTTCTGTTCGGTGTGTTCGTAGCTTTGTCCTGGAGTGTTCTATGGCTTGGCAGCAAGCCTTGAGCCAAGGTGGCTCCTGACGACTTTCTTCAACACCTACCTCTACTTTGCTTACATGTTTGTGAGCGCCTCAAGCGGGGACCGGCGAGAGTTTGAAGCCTTTGCAGCTAGCAGAATGCTGTGGGATGTCTCCTTGCTGTTAATTCGGCATGTTCTAGACCCATCAGTCATGCAGATTCGACAATGCTCCACGCTGACTTCAACCCTTGCCTTCTGCCGAGGTTCCGGGAGTTGTGGCATTCCATGAATCTGCTGCGGTGTCGGCCTCGTCCTAGCTGTTGCAGCCTTTTGATTTTTTGAAGGCAGTGGGCACTCGCCCAAAGTGAGATCTCAGGACGAGCCCAGCTACTGTGCTGCCTGGGTCACGGTCTGCGCCGCAAAGATCTCCGTCCTGTTGGCCGCTGCCACGGAGCGAAATGGAACATCTGCATTGATCTGCGAAGAGAGTGAAGATGTCAGACTCTGTATGGGTCTCGCTTCTGTACATAAGAAAATTGCATCTGCGCACATCCATTGAAGCTGACTTTCGCAACAGCGGTGCAGCGGCCCAAGGCCGTCCTGTTCTTTTTCGTGAACGTGCTTGGGCAGCATCATACTGCAACTGCATGCGGGTTTCGGTCTGGATCGGAACTCCCGCCAAGCCAAGGTGATGACAGTCTTCTGCTGGGCATCTGAGACGGTGTTGAGACATGGGCTCAGAGATTCTAGCTGTTGACGTTTTTACAAAGTCAAGCCCGGGCCGAAGCTTCGCCCACAAGACAGACATGTATCAACTATCATTGTGGGAAAGGGGGGTGAGAGCGAGAGATGCCCCACCTGGGCCAGGGTTGGGACTGCCAGCCCCTCATACCCCGAAGCAAAGCAAAGAAGGGTGTGTGTGTGTGTGTGTGTGTGCGTGTGCGTGTGTGCGTGCGCGCGTGCGCGCGCTCACCTGTCCTTCAACTGTGTGAAGAAGACGAGAGGAGACAGTGATGATCAGTGATGCTTTCTTCTGCATGTACTCCGAAACCAAAAGGAGAATGTTGAATCATGCTAACGTTACTACCGGGCGGACGTGGGTGTTCCAATGCTTCTGCTTCCATCTGCTTCCCCTCTGTTCGACAGAAGAGGACGAAGTGTGTGTGAAGCCAGCCCGGCTTCAGACTCTGATATGGCATCGTTGTGCGTGCACGCGCGCTCGCGCGCGTGTTCGCAGCCGGCTGGGAGACCCTGGCAAGAAGCGGCCTTTCTTCCCTGACCTTCCCCCAAGCCATTCGAAGCACGTGAGGTGGACTCTGGTTACAGGGGAAAAGAGTGAATGAAGGGAAGTCAGTGGCTGTCATCTTTGCCGACTCAGGGCCGATCCTTTCGTTGAAGACTCAACAGCCAACATGAGCACATATCGTGCAGGCATAAGAAGCCTAAAGAACGGTGATCATCGTACCTTACGGAAGGAAATAAGACAGCGAAGTGATAAAGCAAAGTTAGTTGTGAGGCATCATGCGTTCCGCATCTTCCGCGCTGCTGAGGCATGGAGAGTGTGTCCTCCAAGATCATTGCAAAAGCGAAGGCACGTTTTTCATGGAAAGCCCGAAGCTGGAGTGTCGGAGCTACAGCAGTCAAAGTCGATGCAATTCCGCTTTTTTTGTCCTTTGCGCCGACATTACAGGCCTTCGACAATGTTGGTCTTGGCCTTCCTGTGGCACAGCTGTTGGTGAAGGCGTGACACGTTGAACCGCCCTATTGATGTTCTCTGGATGGGGGCAAGAGAATGTTTTCTGGAAGGTGCTGCTCCTTCGCGGATCCACTGACATCCTCTGTGCCCGCTTGGCCGTGTCCCAAAAGCTGTCGAACGGAGGTGGCTCATTGTTTCCCAGCATGAAGCCGAGGCAGTTCACCTCCGTGAGAAGGATGGTCTCTCTCAGGCACGCTTTTTGCAGGAAAGGCCTTTATCGCCAGAGCATCCACTGTCTCAGCAGAGGAGCTTGTCGAGACAGAGAGCCGCCTCGCACAGCTGAAGGCAGAGATTGAGGCCCCGCGTGAAATTTCCGAGCTGCGAGTCTCGTCCGGAGCTACGCTATCTGTTTCGCCAGGCGAAGGATAAGCAGGCGGAGGCCATCAAGGCCGAAATGAGCTCAGATGGTGCAGGCCGAAGACGAAGTGCCTCAAAGAGTCTTGCAGTCCGGCTGTCTTCACTGCCGGACTGCCAGGCCTTGAGGCTGCCAAGAGCCGGGGAGAAGAGGCCTCTCCGCGTCGGCTCGGGTCATTCCCAGATCCACGGTTCATCTGTCGCGAGTGGCCACAGGTCATCCAGTCGGCTCGCGAAAAGTCTGCTGTCTTGGAGAAGCAGATCGCCGAGGCGGCTGCGAACCCGGTGTGGCCGACATGTTACGACATGCCTGCTATCTCCGGCTGTGCAAATTGCGGCTTTGAATCTGTCTCTTGGGGGACAATGCTCGTGACTTCCTCTTGCACCTGTTTGCAGTGCAGCAGTAGGGCTACTGCGATGCCCGGCAAGTTCACGAATGCAACAGGTTTCGGCAAGTAACGACTGCCAACCCACCACAGATGGATGACTGAACCAAGTAACTGTGTAATACGACCGAATTCAAGAATGTGCGATGAAATCTAGCACACGCGGCTGGTTCATATGCTTTCGACCAACAGCGGCGGCTAAATTTTCGGCTTTCAGTGTTTAGGTTTTTAGGGTTTAAGGTCTTCAAGGGTTTAGGGTGCGGTTTAGGTTTACCTGAAAGGGTCAGGCTTAGGATCTAGGTTTTTGTTAGGGCCGTTAGTGTTTGTGATTTCAGGGTTTGCGGTTTTGCGGCTTTGAATGTTCAGGACTAGGGTTGTCGGGTGCAGCTTTATTTGGGTTTAGGTGTCGGTGGTGTGCGTCCGTTGCGCAAGCCAGGGTTTCCGGCATTCCGGCAGTGCATCTCCTGGGTCCGCGAATGTCACAGTCTCCGTGCTTGAATCTGTCGATGGTCGTTGCCTGTCGGCAGTGTCAAGAGACTAAACTCTGCGAAGCAGCCGCGCACCGTGGCCTCCTAAACAAACCGGATAGGAGTTAGTTTACTGTAATGGCTACTCCGTTGACGACTCTCCTTGAAATTCCTTGAAGTCCATAATCCCGTGTGCAGCATAGGCAGCCAGCATTTGGTCTTGCTTGTGGTTTTGGCATGTTCGATGCCTGGTGATGCCAGGATTCTCAGGACATGTTGAACACGCTGAAGTCCATGATGGACAAGGCCTCACCCACGAAGAATACTGTGATGGCTGTGTTTCCGTCCCTTGCGTGAAACTCACCTGCAAGTTTGGGATGTGCCAAGGCTTTCGAGGCTGCTGACTCTGCGAAAGACCAAGCAGAACGAAAGGCAAACCAGGCTTGACACGAAGACTTGCTTCGCAACGTCGTTGTGGGCCGGGTGTTGACGCTGGGCAGGCAGCTTCTACGGCTGGAGATTATGCAGCAGCAGCAGGGGATTACAAAGCCGTCGCTGAGAAGTACGCTGGCCAGGCGAACCGAAGATTCAAGATTCTGTCATGTTCTGGTCACCCGGGAGGTTTCATTCTGTTGCTTCCGGTGTCGGAACAGAACGAGCTGGCAGTGACTCCATAGAGCCACACTGCCCAAGCCCACACCGGTAAGCTCCGATAGGACATGACCCGGGATGGGATTGCAGGTCAGCGTAAGCAAGCAAGCTACAGATGCAGCCCGAGAATCCGAAGCCAGCGGACTGTGCTTGGATGGATATCATGTGGAGGATTCGCTTCGTATGTTTGTCGTCTATCTTGTTTGATGTTCTGTTTTGATTTACCATGCGCATCCCACTCTGCAGCACTTGCTCGGGCAGGCAGCTTCTGCCGCTGGAGAGTACGCAGCAGCAGCCGGGGCAGCAGCCGGAGAGTACCAAGCGGTCGCTGAAAAGTATGCTGGCCAGGCAGTGACTGGGAAGAGCGGTGCATGTCGGGATGATGCGTTGAGTGTCGATGTTCACGTGCATGCAACTGGGTAGCGCGGATATTTTGCATGGCACGGTATAGATGTGAGAGAAATCCTGGACAGGTCGTGCAGGTGTGCGAAAGAGGAAAAGTTCGCATAATCCTAGATCCATCCCCATCAAGGGAGCTAGAGATTCGTTCTTGCCGATTCATATCTAACCCAGAATGCAACAATAGAAGCACTCGCATGGGCCGCAGAGTCGTCAGAATCTTGCGTGACACGTTTGTCAGATGCAGTGGTCCGGCTGTGCTCCCGCTACAGCTACGGGCTTATCCACAGTGTGTGTACCACCCTGAGACCAAGGGACACACGCCAAAAAAGGCGGGGCGGCACATCATCAGTTTCCAGACTGTGCTTTACAAAGCTATGGAATCCGATGCGAAGCAAGGGCTGATCACCCTTGTGTACCTGCAAGAGAAGGCCAGCCCAAAAGTACCCCAAAGAATGCTGTTGTTTTCCGCAGCGGCCGAAGCGATGAGCATGTCTGAACGGTTTGTGCTGAGAGTCTGAGCTGAAGGCAGAGTCGGATATGATCGAAGAAACAGTTTGAAAGATGAAGAATTCAACCTGCTAACCCGATATATCATGGGTCAATCCAAGCGCGTATCTTGGCTGGTTTTCTGTCAAAGTGCCAGTCGTGAGGCTCCAGCTTTATCTAGAAAGCTCGGTGGGCAGAAGGATGTGCGCAACAGATACTCCAAAACACTCTCCTACATAAATGATGAAAGATGTCGGGACAGTGTCCACCTGTCCTCCTAAATGCAACATCTTCTACTCTACAACTCCTGTGTGTTAATGGCGGCAGCATACATGCAGTATGTCCGTCTACTATACAACTCGTGTTTGTGAATGATTGCAGCATACCCGAAGTTCGTTCTTTTACTATACAACTCGTGTTTGTACAACTTGATTGGACCCGTGCCATGCAATCTTTTCTTAGCTTCCAGTCTTGTTTTCAATTCGACGCCGCTGGAACAACAAGTAATCAATTGCGGTACCACGCAGAGCTCCAACTCTGCCTGGTATTGGTGCATTGCATCCGCCGGTCCACAGTGAACTGAAAGAGCTGATTCGCCTTTATCGGAACACACTCGTCGTTCTGAGTGTCGCTCTGTACGAGCAGCCTTGTCGTGTTTTGTTTACGTTGCAATGCGTAGAGTGCTGGCTTGCTCATGTTGGAAAGCGCAAAGTGCTGATTTGCGCATGTTGGAACATGTAGAGTGAGGTTTGCACATGTTGGAATGTGTAGAGTGCAATGAGAACGAAGACGTAGAAGATCCTCACCGGCACCAACGCTGAGAACACAATCAGCACCCGCACCACCTGTTCTCAACGTTGATGGCAGCACCAATGCGTTCCCCGGCTTGATCCCAACATAGTTGACCAGCAACCTGTCACCCACCTACCACCCATCAATCCACAGTCACCACTTCCACGTCCACCTCCACCGTTGTGCACCTCACCTTTGTTTGCTGCACCGCGACCACCACGACCACCACGACCACCACGACCACCACGACCACCACGACCACCACGACCACCACGACCACCACGACGACCACCACGAC